CATAAAGTGATACTCGTGAGGAGTGTGCCTCTCAGCTCAAGTAGATACAAGAGACTAAATGGGCAGCTTCTGTCCAGAGGTGAGATGGGAACGCAGAGAGAGGAGCTGGTTGAATGGACATGGGATATCAGTGGTGGAAAGGAGGAGTGTGCTGTCACAGTAAGGGGAAAGCAGTTAGGGTCACATAACAATGTACGTATAAATTTTTGTATGGGAGACTAACTTGAAATGTAAACTTCATTTAAACTACAACAATAAAAAACAGGAGGAGTGGAGATATAAGTAATATAAATCATAATCCATATTAAGGAAAATAAGACCTGGTTGCTATATCTTCATAATCATCCCATTCTTTTTCTATAATCATAAATACGTTTAGAAACTTTTTTTGTAAATATTTTCCTGAAGACACCCCGATTCCTAAAGTTTAATATTGTAGCCCATGGAATATAATTGTCAGTATCTAAAAAACAATTTGTTGCCTTTGAGTTGATTCTGACTCACGGCGACCTCATACGTGTCAGAGTAGAACTGTGCTCCATAGGGTTTATAATGGCTGATTTTTTGGAAGTAGATCGCCAGGCATCTCTTCCGAGGTACCTCTAGGTAGATTCAAACCTCCAGCTTTTTGGTTAGCAGCCAAGTGCCTTAACCATTTGTACCATGAAGATACCCCTTCAATATGTAAGCCTGGCTAATTAATTATGTGAAATAACCTTACTGGTTTATAATGCCCAATATATAAATATCTGAATTTTCTTTGTTAAGGATAAGAGTTTTAGATTGATTTTGTCATTATCTTTTCTCATTAGCTAAAGGACTATTAATAGCAATCACTGACTCAAGTGATTATTTTTGTCTTAAAAAGGTCGTGGATGAGACCTTTTGCTTACTTATATTCTTTTACTTGCCTCAGAGATCGTTGTGAGGATTCAATGACTGGCACAAAATTGGTGCTCTGGAAGCATTATTTCCTTCCCCAACCATTCTTCTCCTTTCTGGACTAAAACCTTTGTCACTCTATGTGTTGCTATGACATAGGGTTTCTGTCAGGTAAAAGAAAGTGCCTTTTTCCCACCACTTATTTGTTTTGTAAAATCAATAATACTTTTTTGTCATATTTATGCAACAGAACTTTTTTATTAGTACATACATGCATGCTAAAGTATAACATCTGAAAGAATATACATTAAAATCATCACAAAAGTTACTTTTGGGAAGGAGGTGATGGTCATGGCAGTAATCAAAGCAATGAAGGAAATGTCAGCTCTATGTGTCGTGCTCTAATGTGTAACCTCTACAGTGTTTATACTTTTGGCTCCCCTTGCATTCCTGATATTGTTTATTTGTATGAAAACTCTTTATAATTGTAATATTATTTAAAGAAAAAGGAAAAAAAACCTGAAAGTATTGTTATGATACATTCAGGTGAACTAATATTAACTGATGTTTCTAGCATATATTAGAGTTTGACTCACCAAACTTTCACTAACAAATTACTTTCCATCACCTAAGTGTTTGTGGAAGAAAGTCTGGAGTTGTTTCCAAGCATCTACCTGGGCCATGGCATGAGCCCGGGGCTCCCCACCCCAGATGACAGGACTGCCCACCAAGGTGTGCAGGGAAGCCTGGCACATGGGGAAGTAAGGAGGCTCAATATAGTGCCCGGCCCCTGGGTAACAGATGATCTGGGGCTTTTCCTTACAGTGGGCCTGTAAGCGGTTAGAGGCCTCATTAGCATAGAACTCACTCTTCCAGTTGTGGTCATCCAGACCAACAAGGAACAGAAAGGTACACTCAGCCCTTTCCACAGGAATGAAGCTCTTCTGGTCAGGTCCTTCCAAAGGGCTATTGAGGGCATCCATGATGTCTACAAGGCCATCTTTTGTCACCTTGATTCGATTTCGGTTGGCACTCAAGGGGGGCAGGGTCTTGTCTTTGTAGTGTAAGACTCCCCCAATATTGGCCACAGAGCCATTGATTATGGTGGCAGCCGTGATGCCCTTCAGGAACGAGGCCATGGAGAGGCAGAGGTCACCCCCTTTAGAAATTCCAAGCAGCCCAAGTCCTGGACCCTTTACCTGAGAAACAAACAGAGGCAAGAGAAGGAGAGTGAATCCATGAACAGTGAAATGTGGTAGGGAGTGGCCAGCCTTGGAAGTCAGGTGACCTTAAGTTTGAATGTGGGTTCTACCATTTACTGAGAGGTTTGCAACCTTAGGAAATTTACTTATCCTTCTTCCCTATCTTCCTCTCCACAATTTCTCCATCATTATTCTTGGTGACTTCAATATCCATGTGAATGATATATCAAATAAATACCTTGGACTCTCAATTCCTTGACCTCCATGCCTCCGATTATCTTTTTCTCTACTCCAGCTCGGCCACCCACTCTCATTGTCATACCCTAAACCTAGTTATCATCAATAACTACATCGTCTCCAAAATCTTACTTTCAAGCATTCCACCCTCTGATCACCATCTTCTATATTTCCAGTTTAGTCACTCTAGTGCTACCCATTCCAGCAATTTTTCCATCTCTTTGAGAACTTGTCTAACATTTTCCCATTATCTATACCTCCCTCATGTTGTTACTTCCCTCCTTATTTAGCTTAGATTTCATGCTTCATAATTATAGTCACTCCCTTGCAAACACTCTAAACTCTTTAATATATCTCTTCCTTTTGTCATACTTCCCTGGAAAAGTGGTAACCCTGGTTAATTCCACTATCTACTTCTTCCAGGCCTGCATTTGTACAAATGAACATTGCTGGAAAACATAAACACACACATTTGTGCTGACAAATCTTACTTTCATTTCATGACTACAAATTTCAAATGAGCACCCACACTGCCCATCAGTCCTATCACATTTCACTGATATGTTTGCTTTCCACTTCTCCAAAAGACTGTTTCGCACCTTCTCCCCACCTCAAACTCCTTTAACCCAAATCTCACTTTCAGCTCCTCATACTTCATTAAGAAAATAGAAGCTACCCAGTAGGAACTCTTCCTCATTTTCCCACTGCCAAATCTACCTACTTGTACATGAACTCAAGCTCTCTGCCTTCCCTCATATTTCCACAGAAGAAGTACCTCTTTTCTTATAATACATCACCACTTGTGCTCTGGATCCCATCCCCTCTATCTTTCTCAAGGACTTCACTATTACAATTATGTCCCCTCTCTCTCTCCTCCTTCATAATTTTTTTCTGTACTGTCTCATTCCCATCAGTATACTTATATGCTCTAGTACTGTTTATGTTTTAATAATAATCCCTTGACCCCACATCTACTCTAGTTACTGCCCTAATTCTCTACTCCCATTCACAGAAAAATTTGTGAAAAAGTTGTCTGTTATTGCTCTCTTCCTTGTCTTCCATTCTCAGTCTTCTTCAGGGTAGTTCCACAAAGACTGCTCTCGTCAGTTACCAGTGACCTCTGTGTTACAAACAAATAGCCTTTTGATTGACCTCTCAGCAGTACTGTTTTTCCACGTGGCTTCTCTTGAATGGCTTCATCGATTTACTCCTCACAAAAGTACTATTCATTAGATGATATTATATCACCCAGTTTTTCAAAGGCAGAAACAAGGCTCCAAGGTTATAGAGTTAGTAATTGGCAAAATCAAAATTCAAATTTAACTTCTCTTTATATACACCCTGGCACTACTATACCCTACTACTTCTTCTAAAAGTTCCAATGCTTCTACTTTGAGGTCTGAATGAATTGTAAAATAAGCCAGGTTTATCTTCTGATTTTCTAATACCCTGAGCCTAGAACCCTCAAATATTTCTTAGTATCCAGGGTCTTTGATTGCTCAGTTCTTCCTTTGAAACTTAATCCTGTGTTCTCACATGTTCAAGACCCAAAATGGGAGAGGGTTGCTAAACACAAACATTTAAACTGGGACATCTGGAGACAGTGATTTCCTTCCTCTTCCCCCTTACCTCCTGTGTCAAACCCAAGGTTTTCAAATATGTTTGGCTCACTATTGAATACTATCAAAAAACCAAACCCGTTGCCATCAAGTCAATTCTGACTCATAATGACCCTATAAGACAGAGTAGAACTGCCCCATAGGGTTTCCAAGGAGCACCTGGTGGATTCGAACTGCCAACCTTTTGGTTAGCAGCCATAGCTCTTAACCACTATGCCACCAGGGTTTCCATTAAATACTGTAAGATACTGGAATTTTAAATTCCATAATGTCAACTAAAGGAGCCCTGGTGGTGCAACGGTTAAATGCTCGGCTGCTAACTGAAAGGTCGGTAGTTTGAACCCACCAGTGGCCCTGTGGGAGAAAAGACCTGGCGATCTGCTCCCGTAAAGATTACAGCCTAGAAGACCTATGGGGCAGTTCTGCTTTGTCACATGGGGTTGCTATGAATCGAAAATCAACTCGACAGCACCTAACAACAACAATCCCAACTAGGAACAGCTTTATACTAATATATAATTGTGCAGAAACTGTCTATGAGAAGTGTCTATAAAAGGTAGTGTGTCTTGGGGGTAGGGAGTAGTTGGCATGAATGAGCCTAGTTCTGTAAGAACCCAGAGCATTATTGAGGATGATACCTGATACGTAGTTCATAAAGCTTAGAGAAGAACCAACCTCAGGGCGATTGAGCAGGTAGTTCACGGCTTCTTCAAAGTACTCCAGGTGTAGGATCTCTAGGCTCTTGGGAAGGTCTTCATAGTTATAATAAGCCAGAGCCATCACAGCAAAACCCTTCCCAGCCAGCAGACTAGCTCGGTACTCTGGAAGGCCACCTCCAGCTCCAGAAATGTCCACAACTCCAGGAAAAGGCCCAGGTTCTTGGGAAGAAACAAAATACAAAACTAAACTATTTCTGAAACTTCTTGCGGTGGTGTCAAAAGCCATTTTGTTGCCTACTTGGTGATGTCCAAGTTTTCTGTTGACAATAAAATGCTGACAGGCCTCTGGTCTTCAAGCATCCAAAGAGTGGCTTTGTCTAAATCCACATTTCCCGTTTACACCCAGAGTATCAAAGCCCCACAGATTTTTACAAAAACCACATACTACTTTTTTTTTTTTAATTGTACTTCAGGTGAAGGTTTACAGAACAAATAGTTTCTCATTAAACAGTAGTACACATACTGTTTTATGACATTGACTAACAACCCCATGACATGTCAACCCTCTCCCTTCTCAACCTTTTTTTTTGTGTGTGTGGTGAAAATATACATAGCCAAAGATACACCATTTCAGAAATTTCTACATGCACAGTTCAGTGACATCGACTACACTCTTCCAGTTGTGCTGCTATTCTCACTTTAGATGAAGGTTTACAGAACAAAATAGTTTCTCATTAAACAGTTAGAAGCATGTACTACTTTTGTAATTGAAAAAAAATTAAAAACAACAAATCATTGCTCCCTCCCCCTAAAAACAGACAATGCCAAACGCTAGTGAGGATGTAGAGCAACTCGAACCCTCATATATTGCTGGTGAGAATGCAAAATGATACAGCTGCTTTGGAAAACAGTTTGGCAGTATCATAGATTGAATTGTGTCCCCCCAAAATCTGTGTCAACTTGGTTAGGGCCATGATTCCCAGTATTGTGTGGTTGTCTTCCATTTTGTGATTGATGTAATTTTCCTATGTGTTGTAAATCCTAATCTCTGCCTGTGGTTAATGAGGCAAGATTAGGTTATGTTAAAGAGGTTTAGGGTGGGATGTAACACCCTTACTCAGGTCACATCTCTGATCCAGTGTAAAGGGAGTTTCCCTGGGGTGCGGTCTACATCACTTTAATCTTATAAGAGATAAAAGAGAGAAGCACGCAGAGAGACATGAGGACCTCATACCACCAAGAAAGCAGCACTGGGAGCAGAATCCGTCCTTTGGACCTGGGGTCCCTGTGCCTGAGAAGTTCCTAGACCAGGGGAAGATTGATGACAAGACCTTTCTCCAGAGCCGACAGAGAGAGAGCCTTTCTCTGGAGCTGATGCCCTGAATTTGGACATCTAGCTTACTAGACTGTGAGAGAATAAACTTCTGTTTGTTAAAGCTATCCACTTGTGGTATTGCTGTTATAACAGCACTAGATGACTAAGACAGGCAGTTTCTTACAAGTTAAACATATACTTATCATATGACCCAGCAATTGGCTCCTAGGTATTTACCCAAGAGAAATGAAAACTGTGTTCACAGAAAAATTTGTATGCAAATGTTTATAATGACTTTATTCATAATCTCCAAAGACTAGAAACAACTCAAATGTCATTCAACTTGGTGAATGAATAAACAAACAGTGGTGTATCATACAAGGGAGTACTACTGAGAAGTAATAAAAAAGTACTGATACATGCGAGAACATGATGAATCTCTGCTATTGAACTGCGGTAAATGGAGAAAGCCAGACTCAAAAAGCTATATACTTATTCTGCGTGATTCCATTTATATGATATTATGGAAAAGGCAAGACTATAGGGACAAAAAAACAGATCAGTTTTGCCAGGGGTTATGGGTGGGGGGAGGGGCTGACTACAAAAGGGCACTAGTAAATTTTGAGGGGGTGATGGAACTACTACTGAACATGATTGTGGTAGTAGTTACATGACTATATAAGTATGTCAAAACTCAGAACTGTCCACCAAAAAGGGTATTCAATTACATTTTACTGTATTAAACCATTGCCATCGAGTCGATTCCAACTCATATTAAATACTGTTAAAAACAACAACAATGTTGCTTTGCTAGTTGAAAAATAACAGAATTTCAGCATAAGTAATTAGGCTTGGTTCTTTTTCAATTAAAGGCAGGTTTACCTTGGGATAACCTCTTTCCTGGGATCTTATGTAGACTACTGGATTTTGGTCTAAGCAATTTGGTGAGTAGTACTGCCTGCCAGTTACTAAAATGGATAAGACAGAAGGAAGAGAAAGTCTTGGGGGTGGAGGGTCTCAAAAGTTCTATCTTGACTATGTTTAGATGGAAATGGAGATTTGTATAAAATAAAAAGTCCCTCCCCACCTCACTCTAAATCCCATTCCCCTGGAACAACCTCCCTATTTGGTTTGATATGCACTTTATATATCTCTACACACATTTATATTTGCTTTTGTTTCTGATTTATAAAGTAGGGATCATTGTATAGTGATTCTGCAATGTATCATTCAATGGATCAGTCTCGTTATTTGTAATGGCTATAGAGTATTCCATGGAATAGATGTACACCTACTCCTCACTTATTGACTATCTCATTATCTGACATTTTGCATTTATGACAAAAATAAAAAATCTATTATCCAACTATTATGTGCATTAATGACATAGATCTGGCAGTAACAAATGCCAGGATACAAGGCAAGAGTAATGCTGGCTGTGATGGTTAAGGTTATGTGTCAATTTGGCTGGGCCATGATTCTCAATGGTTTGGCAGTTATATAATGATGTAACTTGGCAGTTATGTAATGATGTAGTCATCCTCCATTTTGTGATCTGATGTGGTCATCCTCCATTTTTGCATAATGCTGATTTTTGCATAACGCTGATTTTTGCATAACGACCTAGTCTTTGGAACCTGACCATGTCGATAAGTGAGGAGTGGATATATTATAATTTATTGAACCATTCTCCAATTAATGGATGTCTTAGTCACCTTGTGCTGCTCTAACAGAAATACCACAAGTGCATGGCTTTAACAAAGAGAAGTTTATTCTCTCACAGTCCAGTAGGCTACAAGTCCAAATTCAGGGCATCAGCTCCAGGAGAAGGCTTTCTCTCTGTGTCAGCTCTGGAGGAAGGTCCTTGTGATGCATCAGTCTTCCCTTGGTCTGGGAGCTTCTCTGAGCAGGAACCTCAGGTCCAAAGGACATGCTCTGCTCCCGGCGCTGCTTTCTTGATGGTATGAGGTTCCCATGTGTCTCTGCTCACTCTCACTTCTCTCTTTTTTATGTCTCAGAAGAGATCGGCTTAAGACACTATCCAATCTTGTAGACGTCATGAGTATAACCTCATCATAGTGAGAGTTTACAACACATAAGGGGATCACATATAACTTCATCATAGTGATAAGAGTTTACAACACATAAGGAAATCACATCAGATTAAACAATCATACAATACTAGAAATCATGACCTAGCCAAGTTGACAGATATTTTGGGGAGACACAATTCAATCCATGACAATGGATATATGAGTTGTCTCCAATTTTTTAAAATAATGCTATAATTACGCTACTAATGCATGTAGTTTTGTGCCCTTGTGTATTTCCATAGGACAGATGTCTAAACATGGAATTGCTAGTTTAAGAACTATTAAGACTGAGTTTGAAACGGAAAACTAAGTAATGATTTCCAGGAATTCCCTGAGTACTGAAGGTATGGGATAACCATGTAAGGGTGGTTAAACTTGGAAAAGGCATTTGAATTAGAGAACAAAGTTGGCCTGAAGTATAGAGAACAGGAATTAGATAGGTAATCACAATAGCCACCAGGAGTGGGTGGGTGGGGATAGAGCCCAGGAGAAACAGAAGAGAGGGAAATCAGACAGTGGCCACTAATCCAGGAGTTAATGAATATTATTGCAGAGTGACCCTAGTAAGAAAAGGGATTATGAAATAGAGTAAAAACATGGGAAAGTCATACAAGAATTAAATGGTAGTTGTGTCTGTATGTGATGGGAAATTAAAAGTCTAGTGTGGGAGGGAGACATGTCATTGTAAACCCTCCTGTAATTTTTTTTGTTATACCATTTATGGGTAATTTAAATTTTTCATGTTTTTTAAAAAAGTTAATTTCTCAACTTTTCAACTTTTTCTTCCAACATCCAAAGTAGTACTAAAGTTTATATAAATTAGCCAGGAGGCAGGCCTCAGGCTAGCAACTGGAAATCTTTGGAGATTATTAGGTTTTTGTTTACCATTTCCATTAAAAAAAATGTATTTAACATATATAAGATTTAAAGAATAATAATAAAGCAAACACTGTATACCCAACTCTCCATTTATTAAATAGTTTGGTACTAACACCATTGAAGCCCCCTGAGTGCCTATGCCCCACTGAATTTCCTTCCCTCTCCACTATCCTAGATTTTGTGTTTATCATTTTGATTTTCTTTATAGTATTACCACTTCTATGTGTACTTTAAACAATATTTTGCTTATTTTTTAAATTTTATCTAAATGAAACGATACTGAACGTGTTTTTCTGGGATTTGTTTCACTCAGCACTTTTGGAGATCCATCTACGCTGATTCTTGTAGAATCACTTTTGCTGCTGTAATATATTTCATTGCATAAACATATCTCAATTTGTTCATCATCAACTCTATTGTTGATGGATCTTTGGGTTGCTTCCAGTTGTATTTTCTATTACAAACAATGCTTCAATGAACATTCATGAATATGCCTCCTGGTGCACATGCACCAGGAGTGGAATGATATATTTAACTTGTCTAAGACAAATTTGTTTTCCAGAGTGGATGAATAACCATACTCCTTCTACCAGTGTATTTGAGTTCCTTTTCCTCCACCAGCTTGTCAGCAATTGGTATTGTTAGACTTGTAAACTTTTGCCACTTTTGAGAGTGTGAAATGGTATCTTGTAGTTTTATTTTGCATTTCCCTGATTAGTAATGAAGATAAGCATTATTTCACCGGCTCTTCTATGAATGCCTGTTTATGTATTTACTTATTTTGCTGGGTTGTTTTTACTCACTGATGTTGATGGTTTAAATGTATATATTTTTTATCCTAATCCTTTGTCGGTTATGTGTTGCAATATGTTCTTTCATATCTGTCTTTTCCCTTTCCTACGATGTCTTTTAACAACTGATCACTGGATTTTAATGACTCCTCAGAAAGTTATGAAGCGGCAGAGCCACCTCCCCACCAAGTCTCACATTCCATTCCTGTCTCCCTGACACCTCTAGGCTCTTTTTACAACCCCATGGAGCTCTGGAATGTTGGGAGATACGTCCTTCCTCTGTCTAGAGTTCGCGAGATGAGAACTGAAGCAGAAACAATTAGGCAAGCAAGTCACTTACCCGGGGGCAGGAAGAGTGTCGCGCGCACCCGTCCCGCGCGTACCGGCTCCCTCCGCACCCCAGTCGGTAGGAAGTCGCGCTCGTGCACCGTTCGGCCGAGGACCCGCCGCGGGTCGGGCTCGTGGCCCTCGAGCACTTCCAGCGCCACTGCGAAGGGCGTCTGCACGTCCCGCTTCACCAGCCGCAGCAAGGGCTTCTCGGGCTCCAGGGCCCAGATGAGTCCCATGGGCTCCAGGCCCGCGAAGCTGCCGCCCAGCGCGGGCGCGCGCGCCAGCTCCAGCTCGCCGTCCATGTCCGCGCAGTAGCGCGCGTGGGCCCGGAAGAGCGCGCCCTTCTCGTCTCGCAGGGACGCGCGCAGCGTGACCTTCTGCTCCGGAGCCAACCTGTGCACCTTGATGTTCACCGGCTGGTCCCAGCAGCAGCGGCCCCTGGGCTCCAGGATCACAGTTGCTGCCATCCTAGCCGGGATCCAAGAGACAGGGCCACCCGTCCTCAGCTGTGGAGGCCTTGGCAACGGCACCCAACTCTTCAAGCCCCATCGGCAGAACCGGGACGCTCGCGGGACGGCGGGGGCTGAGGCTGCCGTTTTGCGCCTTGAGTTCAGACCTCGGCTGTGGAAAAAGTTAGAACTGGTTAAAGAGCCTCTAGTAGCGGGCTCGCTATCTACTGGCTGAGCGCCCGGAACCCAAAGGGGCGGAGCAGCCTACTCAGCTGAGCTAGGAAGGCCAGACTCGTGCCAGTCGGGAGTCTTCCGTTGAAAGCAGAAAGCACGAGCAAAAACAGACACGCTTCAACTTGCCTAAAGCCTCCTGTCTTGAAAACCTCTACGTTTGGAAAGAACTTCCGAGTTCAGCTTCTCGGTACTGTGGGCCGTGAAGAGTGGGCCGGCTAGGGCTGTTTCTGAAGGAACCTGGCACCTAACAAAGCCTCCAGTCGCCAAACTCTTGCCGGCTAAGAGTGCAGTTTTATCACTTTGTTGAATAACTCATACCAGTTACTAATCATAGGACTTTTCTTTTAAAATGGGAACCATGATGTTTTGCTTGTCTCTGTGTTATTTGTATGCTTATCCTTCCTCCACACCAGTCCCGCATTTAAAGGTACTGACGTCTTAGTAACTAACTGTGTGACCTCTGAGCTTCGTTCTTTACAGGCATAAAAATAGCCACACGAAGTAATGCAGTTATTATCTTGTTATACTGGGCTCTCAGTTTGCTCCATTTAGGCACATCTGATGTACTGGTCCTCCTGGATTTGCCCCCTTTTCTACTTTTTCATAAGCTATTCGCTCCCACCAGTGGTGGATTTTTCATGACGCTTAAGCTTCAGGCCTCTTTCAAGGCCTTTTACCTGACTTTACATTCATAATTTTGTATCGTTTTATTAGGAAAACCTGCAAATTGTATAAGGTTCAGGCCCCACAAAACCTGGGTTTGCCTCTGCTCCGGATAAACTCATGCTTAAGAGCTTTCTCCACAAGACCTTTCACCCAGTTCCCAATGCTCTCCAGCTGACTGGTCATTAATCAGGCAGCTCCCTGTAGCTCTAATTACTTTTGTTCTAGTTTTGTGGGATACTTTACAGAATATTTTGTGCATAAAAGCCTCAGGAACTAAAGAAGGTAAATAATAACAGCTAATTTTTTTGACAACCATCACCACTATTTCCAAACTATTTAATCACCCCAGACAGAACTTCTGTACCCACTAAGTGATAACTCCCCAGTTCCCCCTCCCCTCCCAGCCTCTGGTAACCACTAATTCTACCTCTATGCATTTGTCTATTCTAGATATTTCATATAAGTGGAATAATAAAATATTTGCCCTTTTGTGTCTGCCTTATTTCACTTAGCATAATGTTTTCAAGGCTCATTCATGCTGTAGCTTGCATCAGAACTTCATTTTTCTTTATGGCTGAATAATATTCCATTGTATGTATATATACCACATTTTGTTTATTCATTCATCTGTTGATGGACAGTTTGGTTGTTTCTACCTTTTGGCTATTGTGAATTATGGTGCAATGAACATTGGTGTACAAGTATGTGTTTGAGTCTCTGCTTTCAGTTCTTTTGGATATACACCTAGGTGTAGACTTGCTGGGTCATATGGTAATTCTGTGTTTAACTTTTCAAGGGACTGCCAAACGTTTTCTACAGTGGCTGCACCATTTTACATTCAATGTATGAGTGTTCCCATTTCTCCACATCCTCACCAACACTTGTTATTTTCCATTTTGTTGATAATAATAATAATTAACTTTTAATCCTTACAAGAACCCTATGAGCAAATTAAGGCCCAGAGAGGTTAATTCATTTGCTGAAGATTACATGGCTAGAAAGTGGAAGTGTTGGGATTCATACCTTTGCCACCGAGTTCAGAACCTGTTCTCTGAGCTACTATGCTTTAACTTTTCTCACATTATGATGTCTCATGTTAAAGAAGGTTTGGAAAAGAGATATTCATATGTCGTTGGTAGATGTGTAAAGTGGTATGATCATATGATCTCTTCAGAGAGCAGTCTATATAAAAATATTTAAAACATGCATTCTCTTTAACTCACAGTTTCATTTCCAGGAATTTCTTCTAAATAAATGTTCACAAATGTGTGTAATTATTTGACTATATGGATGCTTATTATACAATTTTAATAGAGGAAAAAATTGAAACTAGTAATAGAAATTTGGTTAAATTAATGTATAGTAATATACTAGAAGACAGGGAAAAAGTACCCAATAAGCAAGGTAAGCACGTGCTTAGGGCATCAACAAAACGGGCACGAGTTGTCCAAAATAAAGACCCATAAATGCCAAGCAGACAGGACGTAAGAAAAAGCGAGCACCTCAGTGGAAAGGAACTGGCAGGGCACTAAATGAAATTGATACCAATTTATAAATTTTGTATACGACAAGAATTATATTTTCCTTTTCAGTTTGGACCGATGGGGTATAACCTCACGTTCAGTTCTCTCTTATCAACCACATAAGAACATGCCATCACCCCTATAATCACACCCCTGTCGGGTATCAGCAGCAGTCTAATGAACTGTGAAGACGCAGCATCAAAGGATGGAAAGTGAGTTCACGAATTTTTAAGTATTATTTCAAGATGAAAAATACTCATGGAGACCGCTGAAGGGCCCGCCAACAAACATATGACAAACGAATGAAATTATTTCCGACTGCCTTATAAGTACTATTTCTTTTGATTATCTCAGACCTGAAGAACAAAATTACATGTTCCAAGTCAATTTTTTTTACTTACTAATTTTCAAATATATATTTTTGTGTTAACGTCCAAATTCAAATATAAATTTTATTTATTTTCAATTATTCAATTTATATGCTATGGTAGAACCAAATTTAAAAAGTGACATAATTTTATATCCAAGTAAAATGAAATGTACCACTAGTACTGAAATTACTAACAGCAATATGAATATAACAATTCTGCATCCATTCCTTGCTGTAGTGAAAAAATTAATAATGGTGTAGAAAGTGAAACTATTTTAGAACCTGAAACTGTTGCATCTGCAAACCCCATAAATAACAAAAATACAGATTCTACTTTGTAGAATAATTTTTATTCTTTGCTCTTACAAATTCTTCAATGATTTCATTACAATTAAGCTGCTGAACAATATCTACTTCCATACATAATAAGGATAATGAATCAGATCTGTCTTCAATCGTTGTACACTGAAGGTTTTTTTGAGGGATGAAAATGAGCGTTCTGTTGTGCAGTTGGTGATCATTAAAGTTAGGAATATGCGTAAAGCTATTTCAACATCGGGAAATACGCATTGTATTTTATCTTCTATTATGGAATCATTACAAGCCTACATCAGTAAAATTTGTCTTTCCCGAATCTGTAAACTTAGTTCTCATGTAAGAATGAAATTGTCGCACTTCTCTGTAAAGGTTTGTATTTAAGTCATCGGGATAAGCCTGCATTAATTTCTTGGATACCTTCATGTAGTCTTCATCAGGTATATTCACACTGTTTAAGAAGGAAACTCCATACACTTTCGCCCTTCTTTTCATGCAAGATTCAAGTGTGTCAATGATGGCTTAGTATGTGGGTACTCGAAACTGATCTCTGGCACTCAGTGATACTTCTGGAGCACTTCTGTCATTTACGTGTTCCTTTCTGATGTTTCTGTGACTGGGAACTGCTAGATAATCAGTATTTGGCAGTGTTTTATTGTGTTTTCAATTTTTTCTCTTAAATTTTATAAATACCCTGTTGATTACTGGTAGAGATCTGTGCATGTCTTTAAATTTACTTCTGAATCTTGGAGAGCTTGACCTGTCAGATGAAAATGCTTCATTATTCCACATAACCAACATAAATACATACTGTAGTGTTTGTATTTTGTTGATGATGTTCTCAGTTTCTCTTTTGGTATCTCCTTTTTGTGTCTTGTCTTCAGCAATATTTTCTAAGGCATCTAGAATCTGAATGTATGATTCCAAGATTGTACTCATTGCTACAACATGCACTTCCCAATGTGTATTAGAAAAACATTTTAATACTCGATTATTGTTTTAAGAACTGCCCATCGATGAGTAGAGGTGGCAAAAAAATGTGTGGCGTAACTGAACAGTAGAAAAAATATCAACTGCTTCCAGACAACAATCTACCAAGCTACTTCCTACAAGATTAAGTGAATGTGCAGCACATGGTATGAAAATGGCAGATTGATTACATTCTAAAATTTTCTGTTGCATGCCTTTATAAAGCCCTGACATATTGGCAGCATTGTCATAGGACTGGCCTCTGCACTTAGAAAAATCAAATTTGCAAACTTCACATAAATAGTGGAGAACTTCATCTGCAATTTCTTCACCAGTATGACTTTTTAAGCTAGTAAATGTGATAAATCGCTCGACAGGTTTTCAATCTGTTGGAGATGCGTATCATAAAACAGTACTTAGCTGATCTATATGAGGAAGATCAGGAGTGGAATCTACAGACAAACTGAAATATTGAGCTATACTTATTTTATGAAAATAGTTGATCAAACTTTATCACTTATTAAATTTATCAATTCTTCACACATTGTTTTAGACATATATGATGAAAGATCTATCTAAAAATAAAATGTAGTAATTTGTTGTAATATTTGTTTTCTGATCATTAAATTTTCTTTTATGACATCTTTTCATTTGTTCATTTATAATTATAGCATTTATTACAAAACAGCATCAAAATTGAAGTATGAGTCATTTAAAGCAAAATTAGTGAAGGTAAATTTTTCTTTGTGGGAGATCAACAGAATTTTACACTGATTGTTGAAACAACTAAGTTTACTGACTCATTTTCTTTGTTGTAGAATATGGGGAATATTCTTTTTGTAGAAAATGTAGTATATAATAAAAATCTTAGTACCCCGCATCCACGAAAAATTTTGTAATCCAGTTCATCTCATTCTGCTAAAATGACATACGCCACTTTTGCATTCAATCGCTAATATTATAGTCGTATTTAAAAAGAAGTTACATCATGGATAACTAAGACACACACATGTGTATATACATGTATATATATAACTCACATATCCCATTCAAATGCATGAGTAAATAGAGGAGGGGCACCACAGATTATCAGTGTTTAAGGTCCTCACATGCCTTCATCTGGCCCTGCTAGAAGATGTACAGCCATTAAAAATGATATAGCAAA